CATGAATCATAAAAACCAAAAGATGAGCTTTAAAGGACAATTATTTTTTTAATGTTATGAAAAATTTTGTTTAGTTTATATTAAGACATATGTATATAAAGATACTAAGTTTACAAAAAATAATTCAAAAAATGAGATTAAATTAAATTCTTAAAACTCAATAAACACGTTAGAATAAAATTAGCATAAATAATAAATATTATTTCGTAATATTTACTTGTTGAAAAACTTGTAATATGATTCATATGAAAATTTATTGTTTTCAAAGATTAATTATTCATTTTAAAAGCTTTATCACTGATCTTTTGGTACAAACTAAATGATTTTAATAAGATTTTCATAACACCACCTAGTTTATTTGTATTTATTAACAAGGTATACAAATCTAAAGGAATAAAACTCAAAATGTTTCTACAAATAAGAAGAAACCAATCTCTAAAATAGAGAGAAAATAGGAAAAAAACTTAAGGATAAAAAAAGCTGAGAAAATAGTAGAAAACAAGGTAAATAAGTTGTTGCTTGATATGTCGAACATCTATCTCTCAACCTTTTTTAATACTAATTTTTAGAACTAAAACTAATGCAAAAATAATTATAGTAATTACTTGTAAACCCCTACGTAACTATAGGACCTAAAGTATAAATAACTTGACGAGAAGTAGAAACGTGAGATGAAAAAAATCAGTAAGCAATATAAATAATAAAAAATATGATGTGAAACAGAGAAAAAAGTCTCCATTATTAAATAAAAAAATATAGATGGGGTTCCTACAAGAATTATGAATTTTAGTTTAAAATTCATAATGATGATGAAATCAATAACAATTTTTTACGGATTAAAGAGTAAGAAAAATATAAAAAAAAATGATACCAAGATATTAATATGGTAGTAATTAATAAATAATAAGAAAATATGATACAAAAGAAAAGAAAAGAATGATGGTATAAGTACAGATTAAAAGTGGTAACGTTACTATGAAATAGTAAAAAGTTTGTAAATGAAATTAATAATGAAAGGAAAATAAAAATATTCTAGGAATAAAAAATGATCTCAAGAATCTAAAGAAATGATTGATATGACTTATTCAAGAATGGAATGAAAAAATTTGAATTTTTGATGAAAAATCACAAACCGACCAATTTTATGTAATTGCACATAACTTTCAATCCAACACTCGGATCGGACTGAAGTATTTTATGGAGTCTTATGACACGTTTACCTAATTTGATTTAGAATTTCAATTCAATAAGAGTTCAATAATACAAGACATAAAAAAGTAGTGGCAAAAGTATAAATAAGAGGAAATCTCCTTTATTTAAAAGTTGTTTTAGCCTAATAAAAGAAATAAAAAGAGAGGATGAAAGGGTTGGTGTTCTAGATCAATAATTGAGAGAAAAACCTTAAAAAAATATGAGATTAAAAGAATGGGTAAAGTAGAATTATGCATGAAAAACATGTTTTATTAGTGATTAGAGGAGTTAAAGCAAGGGTTTGGAAAACTAGAGAGAGAAATAAAGAATTGAAGAATGGAAGGAGAAGTCCTGAATAAAGCTTGTGTTTAGAAGGTAAGAAACACATTTAAAGTGATTATTTAAGATGATTTTATGTTGGATGAAAGAATAAATATGTTAATGTTGTGTAAATTTAAGTTATGATGTTAGTTTGTTTATATTGATGTTTTGTGTTGAAATGTTGATTTGTGTATGAAAAATAAATCAAGTACAATAAATTGAAAAGAAAAACCACCTCTACTTCTAGTGATGGAAAATTCAATTTAGATGTAGGAAAGTGAAATTGGGTTCGTTTGAAGTAATTGTTATGTAAATTAAGTAGAATTGTGGTATACATACAAAATGATTAGGTATTCTATTAATTTGTAAAAGATAAAAAGAAAAGCTATGCCTCCATTTAAAGATTAAGTTTAAAGGGATGAGTTTGTTTATTTAGTTGTTATGAAACATGTGTAGAATTGTGATAGTTTAGGTACAAAATGAATATGAATGAAATAATTGAAAAGAAAATTAAAGAAAATAATGAGCTCATTTGAAATACATATTTTAATTATAACTAGTGTAGAGGGTTTGAATTTGGTGGTTTAAATTGGCATGAGATTTATTTTTAATTATGATATGTGATGTATTTAATGGTTGGATGAGACATTAATTTGCATAAAAATCTATACTTTTTTTTAATGATAAGTTCAGACTAGGAGAAAAATTGTTAGAGATTGAATGAGAATAAATAATTTATTTTTTATTTGTGTTTAGTGATGTTAAATAAGGATATTAATGTACGTGATGTGTGAAAAAAAGAGGGGGTGGATTTCTTTATCTTAGCTTAAACTTTCTATGATGTAGGAAGGAAGGAATTCTTTGAAATTGTTTACTTAAAATTAATTTTAATTGTGATATAATGATACTAAATGACCTTGGACAATGTTGTTTATGTATAAGAATAAGTTAAAAGTCAAATTTGTTAATTTAACTTGTGAATAGAATTGGTTTAAGTGTGAAATTGAGGTTGCATGCATATGTTATAAATAAATTATATTTAGACTTTAATTTAGAAGATATTGTTGAGAATTCTGTATACTTAGCCTAAATGTATGTTTAGGCTAAGATTGATTGAAATAGGATGGTGAATAAAGGTTGAAATAAATATGTTATTATAAATTATGTGTACTACTACAGTATTATTATAAAGATAAATAAATGTGTTGTAATAAGAAAATAATGTTAGTGCCCGGCTTGCAAACTTGAATAGAAATACATATATATATAAATAATGTGGTAGAAAAGAATGATAAGTTAAGCCTAAACATGTGTGAAAACAAATAAGTACAACATGATTTTACGAGTAAAGGGTTTAAATTGAATAAAAAAATTTAATGTGGAACAGAATAATGACACTTATATTAAACGAATGGATTAGTGATTAATCTATAATTTTGATGTTATAGGAGATGTTCTTAGAGAAATAGAGTGGAATCTTTGTGAGTAATAAATAGATACCTTACATCTTTTTTTTTTTGTTAAGAGTGTTTCTTAAGTTTTAATAATTGTAATTTATTTAAATGTGTTATGTATCTATTTTAATTGTATTATATGCCATGAAAGAAAAAGAGAAGGATAGGACTAATTAGCCAGTAATGGGATTAGTGTTCAATGAGTTATGTTGTGGAACTAGTTATCTGGTAATGGACTGATGATATTAATTCATTTGATGACTAAAATATATAATTTAATTTAAATTGATTTATATAAAATTAATATTGTTGGGATGACTAATTTATTGAATTGTTAATAAAATGTCACGTGAAACCCAACTATTAAATAAAAATGATGTATTATATTTATGGCATTGAATGCTTGATTAATAAGAATTTTATGATTGAGTTTATGATAAATATCATTAAATTAATAAATTCCTAACTTTCATAAAAGATAAAGATGAAGATTACATTATCTAAGAAGAATGTATAAAAGGATAAATAAGCTAACAAATTTAAATACCGATAAGAAAGATGATTTATGTGAAGAGGAAGATGATGCCATAACATAAAGGGGACTTGACTATAAAAATGAATTAAGTGTATGTCTGTTTCAGAAAGTATAAATTAAGGTTGTGTTGTATGGATTTTTATGTAGAAAACTTTATGATAATATATACAGTGAATATAAAGATTTATTTAAAAGACTTGTTAGGGTTTTTTTTGTTTCTTGTTAGTTTTTATTTTTAAATTATAATTGATTTTGAATATTATATATTGACTTATGAACTGAAAAGTATAATAGTTTGTATGTTTTAAAAACAAATTTACCTTTCTTTTTTAAATTCAAGGCTCAAAGTTACCATTACAAAAATTGCAAATCACCGTGGGTTACATTTCCAAAATTAATTCTTGTTGGTTTGCTTAAATTAATTCTTGTTGATTTGCTTTAATTAATCTCCATGAAGAGGAAATTTATTATTCAGACTATTCGTTTGTAGGCTAGCTAAACTAAATGAGCGGGTAAAAAATAATTTTTTATTATTCAAAATATAATTTTATATTAAATCTAAACTTAAATCCAAAATAATTTGATAAAAAATAATAATTCTTTACAATTCAAGAAATTATTTCAAACCTGAGGCTTGAGCCTACGCTCGAGAATATGGCTTATATTTAAAGCTCAATTTACTTAGTTTTATTTTTATTATTCAATTTTCCACTACATAAACTACTAAAAGAAAATCTTATACTTTTTTTTTATTGAAATAGAATGTTGAGTTTTATAAAAACACATTAATCAAAGTTTTTTTTAAAATTAATTTTTTTATTTACTCATAATTTATTTTAATTATATTATTAATATTCATATTAAAATCATTATTAAAAATTATTTTCAATGAGATATTAAATCTAAAAATAAGTAGACGTAATCCTAAATGTACTCATTTTTAAATATATGAGATCAATTACATAAAATGAAAGCCATGAGAAGATTGAAAAAAAGAGAGTGAGGAATCTATTTGCTGGTTAGAGCATCTACCATAGCTGCACTTTAGAACCGACCCATGCTTTCATTTCCATACCGAAACAGTAAAGGAGAGGGAATCTTATTCAAGTTATCAGCAGACAAAAGAAGGGTCTTGAAAAACAGAAAGAAAGCTTGTTACACCTTTGGATAATAATTGAACCGTTACTCAGTGTCCTCTTATTCGAAAGCAAATATCTGGCTTTTTAGCAGGAAACTCAGTCTGAAAATCCCTTTTGCTTGGTGTTTAGCTTGCAGACCCTGTCCCATGATGCGTCATTGTACTCATTCAAATATATTCGACCCCATGGTATACTTTATTTTGGAATCAGTTCATATATATGTATATATATTACACAAATTAAACTGGTATTTAATCAAGAATTTATAGGGGGACACAATTGTTAAAGGACTTAAAGTATGGAACGTATATCATACAAGTAATTATATAGATAAAAAAAAATGGCATATACTGTTCTATTGGGAATAAAAGTGCATGAATTTATACCATAAAATTGTATAGAAACGTTGTACAAGACCATATACTTCAAGGGTTCTGTTTGGACTTGAAAACCCTTCTGACTCGGTTGATATATAAGAATGGTATCGTATATATGCTGCAGTTTTAGAATGAAAAAGTAGATAGCACAAGGTTACATGTAGCCATATGTTTCATAAAAATATATAGGTTTGTGCATGTATCGTAGCTAAACACAAATACTTGGGATTCATTTGTGAATCGAACCTTTTTGACAAAAGCTTCCCAATGCAGCTTGGGAATGGGGATTTGAGATAAAACATGCCTTTGGAAAAGAAATTAAGGTGGGGATGGCACCAATTAAGGTTGTCGTCTTGAAGTGCGCCAAAAGGTGTGCTGCAAATAAATTAAGAAAGGGATTCAACATCAATTTTCTGGATAAAACTTAATCACATAATGTTACCCAGATGACAATTAATTTTAAAAAATATCAATACATAATCTTAACAAAGAGGGAATATTTCAGAAAATGCAGTGAACTAAATTGAATGGGGAAGAACAAGCGTATAGTGTCATAGGAAATCGCTCACGTATAATATTTAAGTGAAAAATAGAGAAGTATAAAACATGATGAAGAGACCCTGGTGAACTGAAACAAACACAAATTGCATTATTAAAAAGAGAATTGCATAATTAGCACACATACATTGAAACAAGGAAAGCGCCTCCTACACGCCCTCTTTGCTTTCTTGAGCTTTGAGAAAAACTCATCTTCGTAGCATATATGGCCTGCTGGTGAAGCCAAAAAAACCTTTCGAGCTGGTATTAGTGGAGACCACAGGCTACTTTGCTCATAATCAAAACCATATTGGGACGCATCAAAGTACTTGCCAAGAAGCCTCTCTGAGTCTGATTTCGAAACCATTTGAATACTTGGACATGCCGATGAAGAACTTCCTGTTGATGATGAGTCCACTGACGGCGATGCTTCGGACATATTTTCCATCGAGAGAGAGATAGAGTGAGAGAGAGAGAGAGAGCCGGCTCTTATTAGATATGCTCGTATACTGTGTAGCAGAAGTGGTTACTTCTGAGGAGGTTTTGGTATTGTCTGGTAGAAAGTTAAGGCTTGGTCAAGGATTAAGATCCTAAAGTCATTTAAACATATGAGAAAAAACAGTGTATTGTAAGGTGACTGAGGCTATATATATATATATATATATATATATATATATTGCTAATAAGTATAGAGGATTTGGAGACATGTCTATCCCTTTTGAGTTTTGATTTTTTTTTTAAAAAAAAAAGTTCTGTGGCGAAGTTGATGTCTATAGATTTCCAAAGTACTGCCAGTGATATTAATTACTGTATCTAAGGAAAGGCCTACAAATCACACATTTTTGGAGATCTCATGTTCAATCAAGTATAGGAAAGGCACTATCATGAAGCTTTTAAGAGTACCTTAAGTGTCACGTCATTAAAGTTTTCATGCTAGTGGACGTTATCGTTAAAAAATATATATATAAAAAAAATTTGTAATGATCCATGTTGGTGTATTTATATTTGAAGGGTTATTGTATTATTTTTTTATATTGAAATCATTTTTGTACATTATATAATTGTTTTTTTTATATAATTTAGATGTTTGGACCAGATTATATAAATCATAATTAATTTTTGAATTTATTAAATATTTTATAAGCTAAATAAACAAATAAAACACTACAAAATTCACTAAACCACCACCATGATTGCATTATATAATTGTTATCATTACGTCTTCCTATCATTTACTGTCATCAACACTGTTAAATTATGACACTTATATGCTTAAAATATTCAATGTTTTATTGATGTACATTTTGATCTCTACAATTTCTTAAAGAATTTTCTTTTGTTTCATGTATTTTATTTCTTACAAGTAAGTTTTAATTGGATCAATCCTTATGTTTTATAATAAATACAATTTAATTCCTAATTGCTTTTTTTTTTTAAATTAAGTAATTACAAACCAAATCTCAAACTTGGTCAAAATTACGATAATAGATATATCTTGAACCATGTCCATAATCCAATAAAGAAAACAAAACTTTTTTTTTCAATGGGTATATCAATTTAAGTTTATTTAATTCTTTTTTTTTTTCAATCAATCTATTTCAATTATATAAAAAAATTATTGAAAAATAATAGATTTATGATAATATAAAAAAACCAAAACCAAAGTAAAACCACTTCTCAGTGATTTACACTATCAAAATTTTAGATAGATTTATCAATGGAGTTTTTTATTGATATTTATACTTATAGTCTATTAACAAGAAACTTATTGACGTGATCACATACAAAAATAATTTGTCAGAAAAACTCTTGTCAAAAATTTGTGATTTACCAATAAAAATTCTACAGATGAATTTATTAACAGACAAAATATATCAAAATAAACTTTATATATTTTATTTCATCGGTACTTTTATTGTTGAATATAATATATCAACAACAAAAAAACACATGAAATATACCACCTATTATATAAATACATTATTTTATTACTTGATAGTTTTATTATAATATTAATGACTTTTTTTTATTTCTTAATAGTTATGTGATGTTACAGGAAACACATATTTCTATTAAAAAGTAAATTATTATTTTTAGATCATTGAAGTGTTTTTACTTTAAATTCTGTTTTTTTTTGGCTCTCATATCATCATAAATGTATTGTTTCTTAAATAATTTTTTTCTTAATTTTAAATTGTTTGATGGACAAGGTATTAATTAAGTGAATTTAATTAGATATATTCATTAAAAAAATAAAACTTTTGTGTCCAACAATATCATATATGTATTATCACAATTTTGACTTGCAGGGATTTAATGGGAAAAAATCATTTAAGTACTAAATCACATTTATTGTAAAATGTGAGGATAATACAAGACTTCAATTAAGGACCTATTTATAAGAAAAATAAAATATGTAGATCAAAATAAAAATTTTAAGAGCAAAATATTGGCACTATTTAATAAAGTTAGTGATGATAATTACAGAAAGCCCTATATATATATATATCATTAACACTTTATAATTTAGCTTCCAAGCTACTGTGCTTTTATGGACCAGACGTGTGTTGGTATCAAATATTTCAATTCTATCTGAAAGTGATGTAAATTATATATTTTTTAATTTAAAAAAATTATTTAAAATTAATTTTTTTATTTTTTAATATATTGAAATAAAAAATAATTTCTTAAAAAAATAAAAAATTATTTTAATATATTTTTAATAAAACACAATTTAAACTATAACTATTGTCAAAATCTCAAACATAATTATTCCCCTGATGGAAGGACCAAGTTTCGATCTCACTCGTTGTGTCATTCAGGGCTTTGTAATTATAATTTAGGTTCCGTTCGTCGGTTGGGTGTAAAATAATTTGTTTTTTTTTAAATGTCTATATGCGATATCTTTCCTTAATGAAACTACATTATTATTTTAATGAAATCATTTAAAAATAATTATTTAATATTTCAAAAAAGTAATTATTAAAAAAATGACAAGAATAGTGGAGGAATTCAGGATTGAAGTAGTGTTTGAGATTATAATAGTAGTTATTTTTAAAAATATTTTTTTGTTTAGTAATATATTAAAATATTTTTTTTATTTTTTTAAATTTTATATTTTATATTAGTACTTCAAAATAAAAATAATAATTTGAAGTAAGAAAATTAAAAAAATTTCAAAAATACTTTTTAAACACAAAAACAAAAATACTCTCAATAATAATATTGTATCACAAGATATTTCCTATTATTGAGCATAAAACATTTCTAACTAAATATGAAAAAATAAAGAATATATTTTATGTGAAATAAATGTGAACTTACTTAAAATTTCAATCTCAAATTTCTTATGTCTACAACTGAAACCAGAGCATGAAAATTTATTTTTTTAAAAAAATGGTAATTACAATAATAAATTTCAAATTTATGATAGTATAAATCAAACAAGATTAATTTCTTTTTTCAATTGATTATATATATCCAAACCAACCATTTAAAATTAATTACACCTTTTTGGACCGATAACCATATGCTTGATAAAATTATTAGATCCAATTATTATTTAACTTTAACCTTCTATCAATGATAGCCACCTATGACGTCAAAATGCTCCCGATAGTTGTGTTTTTAAAACTTTTGTGGCGAAATAATTTTAAAAAAAATGACGGAAATCGGAATTGGAATCCTCAATTCCCTTTCTTCATGTTTGATTGGACAGAAGTTCATTCTCTCCCCCCTTTAACGGAATGGGATTTTCTACAGTAAGGAAATCCGGCTTCTCTTTATTTTAAGCATGGTTTTAAAAGCCGGTATGGTCTAGTGAGTAAACCTGAATCTTAACTCAGCACTCTTGTTTTATATTTCATGAACTTGTTTTATATCATATCTTAGCACTCTTGTTTTATATTTTATGAACCAAATTTTAATTCATGATTAGTTAAATTAAGATAATTAAATTTTTTCATTTAATTTTAAGTTTGTTTAGAAATACGGTTAAAATCACCTTCTCTTAAATTTAATAAAAATACTAAAAATTATTTTTTTATAATTTTAGGTTATTTTACTATATTAATTTTAAAAATAATTTTTTAAAAAATATTTTTTTAATAAAAAATACATTGAACTATAACTATCATCAAAATCCCAAACAAACCCTACAATAATGTCAAAGTAGCTGCCTGGAAAGAAGATTACAATGTTGTTAAACTCCTAAAATATATTATTTTTATCTATAAAGTGGGATAATCTTAATTAGTCAATGTATTAAAACTAAGTTGTTATCAGACAACGAATAATTGATTTAATAAAGGCTTGGAGACTCTTGACTCAATCACAGGAAGTGGAAAAGAAACATAAGCTTAAATTCATTGTCGCCACATTATGTGCATGAATTAGGACTCTTCTAGACATGATTATAGAGGAAATCATTCTTGAAGGTACAAACTGAATATTCTATTTATTTTTATATTTAAAAAAATTTTATTTTAAATTAAATTTTTTAATATTTTTAGATTGCTTGAATACGCGGATGTTAAAAAAATTTAAAAAACTAAAAAAAATATTATTATAATACAATTTTTTTAAAAAACTTTTAAAAACAATTATTCGAGTAACTTATAGCTTGCAAACTAATTATTGCCAGTGGGAATATACACCAGCGATTACAAAACCTACAAGCTATTGCCTGCAATTACACCTAAAGAGTTTCTGGGTACTGAAACTTGATAAAGCTCTGGGAACGATGACCATCTTCTATTGTTTCAATTGCTCCTGTTGTCTGCCATGAACCATCCTTTAGTTATTGATGAACGCTATCCCTTTATTTTACCACTGACCTCCCATATTTTATGTACCCAAACTCTTTAATACTTAAGTTAGTTTTTAGTTTGGTTACTCAAGTGAAAAGCAGGTAAATCAAAAGGATAAAAGATGTATTTTGTTGTGTGTAATTGAGACACAAGTGTTGTGACCTTGATAGGGATTGAAGCTCCTTTTAAGAAATTGTTTCATGACTCACTATCCCCAAGATGCTAGGTAGATGATGTATGGGTGGCATAGCTAGTCCTTGCAAGTAGTTGGGTAGGGTGGCTCGCATATGTAGTTAATAAGGTGGCGATGATATGTATAACTATAAGATAGAAATTTATTGGTCGATGGGCTAGGACGAGATAACCAGTGGTCTCGTCTGACCTAGCCAATAGCTCATCTTTTAGCATATGAGCAAGCACACAGGTCGCTGTTGCTATAACAAAGGTGTGAGGTGGGTTTTTTTTCTTTTTTTTTTCTATCAACATTGCTCCTTTAGTCTTTGATTTTAGATATAAATTCAAAGACTCTTGAAATATTGAGTCTTATGTGGAGGTAAAGGTTTTTGTGATGGATTTAGAGGTTCTTATCAAGAGAAGGTTATATGATCATTTTAGAGACAAATGATTGCAAGGATTTAGAGAAAATTCATAATCTTTTCAGTGAAAAAATGGTTATATAGACTAGATACTTGTCTGCAGATATTAGACTTGTCCGGAGATATTGAGATTTAAAAACCAATAGAGACAAATTTGTTTTTAATGGAAACGTGAAGTTACATTGG